AGAAAGTCATGTAAGGATGCATCTTCTCACCAGACTTATTCAACCTTTACAGTGAGGCAATTTTGAGAGAATTAGAAGTCCTACCAGGATTTATTATTGGCAGCCACAATCTTAACTACATATGATCTACAGATGACACAGTGTTGATAGCAAACATAGGAAATTGAAAGAACTCTTACAGAAGGTAGAAACGAAAGCAAGACAAATCAATTGCAAGAAGATAGAATGCATGGTCATCTGCAAAAAGAACATCCCAACATGCAAATGGCAGATATCAAAATCAAACAAGTAAAAAAAATTTAAATATCTGGGAAGTGTTTTAAAAGAGGCTGGAAATTGTAACACTGAAATCCAAACATGCATTTGGATAGTCAATGATGCCTTCCAAAAACTAAGCTGGTTGGAACAAAGAATAGCATACTGAACTGTTACACAACACCAGTCTTCCTATATAATGCTGAATACTGAACAATCTCTACATGGATGTTGAAGAGACTTGAAGCAACATAAATTTTGTTCTACAGAAGGATGCTGAGAATACCATGTACTAAATATGTGAGCAACAACAAAGTTTTAGAGAAAATAGAAACAAAAAAGGACACATACTTTAGAAAAAGATGGTTGAAATTTCTAGGGCACATAATGAGGAAAGAGGGTTTGGAAGATTTGATACTCACAGGACAGATTGGCGGCAAAGAAGGATAGAGGAAACAATGCAAAACCTACATAGTAAGCTTGTGGAAATGGATAGTAGAACATGGTTTAGGAAAAATGACAAAAAGACAAAATTTAAATAAAGTAGACAAAACTTGTTTATATTATTCAGTGAAACATGTCTTAATGAAACCACGCTACCAAAATATACAATATATATATATATATATATATATATATATATATATATATATATATATTATCCATTTTAAAAATTAGGAGATCAGTTGAATCCACTATCTTGGTTTCAACCTTATGGTATCCTCAGGTGATTTTTATCAATTGACATCCCAACACTATATTTTTAAAAAAACTAAAGAATGCTATATTATTTTTTTAAAAAAATCCTCTTACGCACATATGAGGCTTGATTTTAAAACCATACATTTCAATTACCCCCCCGCCGACCAAATACATTTATTATTATTTATTGCTTTTCTTCTCGTCCACACTTCTTCCTTCTTCACAGTCTCCTCTACCCTTTCCCGCCCAATGACATGTGTCTGTTTATTTTCTTAAAATAATATAGCATTCTTTAGTTTTTTTAAAACTAAAGCACTGGGAGATCAATTGATAGAAATCACCATCAGGTTGATACCAAGGTAGAGATTTAACTGGTCTCCTGATTATTAAAGTAAAACCTCTACATGTTATTTTTATTTTATTTTTTTAATACTTCTGTTTCCTAGTCTGATCCAACTCTGATCATTAATTTTTATATATATATATATATATATATACACACACACACACACACACACACACACATGTTGCACCAAAGGTCAGAAGACGATAGAAGGAATTGAAAAGATTAAAATTAAAAAGAAGTCACTTCAAAAGTAACAGGATACATACATTTAAGGACAGGCTTGATTACTTGATGGAATCTTGGAAATACAGCTAAAGTATTCTCTTCAATGCTATGATGATGGATTCCTCTGGGCAGGTCAAGATCACCCTCTCACTAACACAGTGGTGGGGTGGGCTAGCTATGGGTTTCTTTCCTTTGAAAGCAGTGCAAAACATACTTGATGAATTTGAGTAACTGAATAGTAGAACAAAACTTATTAAAAACTACAAGGGACAGGAAGATGTGGAGGGCCATGATCACATACGTCCTGAAGGAACACTGCATAGAAAAGAAAAATAATATTCTATTCAAAGTGAGAATTTCAGATGTTTCCCTTGGTGTCATGATTACTCCAAACTAGATTTTTTTTTTTTTTTTTAACAGGAATAGGTGTATGTATGTTATTGATTGGCTATATTTTAAATTTGGTATTTCTTATCTTTTGTGATTGGTTGGGATTTGTATAAATTATTGGAGAAATTAGGGAAAATTATTGTGTCCCTTTAATGGTAGAACAATGAGTTGTAAAAAAAAAAAAAATAGGATAAACACAATTTTCCATATTCTCCAGGGGATCATTTATCAAAATAATCAAAATGGTAGCTCATAATTTCTAGTTTACATTGTTTTTTTTGTTTTTTTTTTTATTTATAATGTCATAAAGAGTCATTAAATAAGAATTATAGTAATTTTTATCTACCAGGGTTAGAGTTGGGAGAAAAATAATCAAATTCTTAATTGAGTGAGTCTGTGAGTTTTCAGACTTGTTTTCTTTTCTTTTTTTTTTCTTTTTTGGTAAAAGCAGAGCTGGAAAACTGCCTTTCAGCATTTATTCATGATTTGATTTTTTTTTTCCTTTATAGAATCAGTCAAATGTTTGCTGAATAATTTCTGTCTATAAAGTCAATTTGGTATTATATGAATCGGAAAAATGTCCATTCTTAATAGCACATCATTAAACAGCAGCAGGATCATTGCCAAATGAAAATGCTTTGCATATATCTAATGAAATTATTTTCCCAGAAGACAACAGACAGTGATTCCTGCTTAAAATTTACTTTTCATTTTCATACAGCTTCCAAATCTCAAAATTCCAAGGGAGGTAACTGAATCAATTTTTTTTTCCCTAAAAACTAAGATAAATTTGTATGTTAGTCCACCACAACTTTTTTCATGGGATTTCTTTTTTTTTTTTTTTTTTTTTTTTTTTTCAGTTTCATTGTACTGGAGAAACCATTTTGTTCCAAAAAGTTTCATTCTGACTTTAAATCAACAAATTGTTACTGAAAGATTATAGATAATAGAAAAAATGTTGACCATTGTTTTTTTCTACTTACAACATTTCTTTCTGTTCACTTAGTTGAAACTTTAACCAACTATTTTGAACAGTTTGACTTTCAAAAAAGAAAGCTCCTTCAATAGAGAGTGCATGATAACAGATCTTTTTAGTTCCCACCTATAATATTTCTTTTAACTGACTGCTTAAATATAATCAAAAAGGTCTCTGTTTTAACATGCCTTGTACCTATAATAAATCTAACATACTAGTGTCAAGTTACTTTACTATCTGTTGGTCCATTAATTGTTCTACTATCTATGATATTCAACTTTAAAAAAGACTGGGAGAAAGTTTTAACAAGATTCCAATACGCTTAGTGTATTAACCACAAGCAATTTTGTTGATTTTCTACCTCACTCATATTAAAAATATAAAAGTTTGATAAAGTTGGGGAAAACAAAGAATCAGAAATGTTATCCACAAGGAATGCTGTTCTTGTAAAATTCTTGAAAATGAAGGAAGATGGTATCTGCTATAATACTGAGAATATATTTTCAATATAATATTGAGAAGAGCCATCATTGTTCTGAGTGTTGTGATTCTTATGTTGTATACCAGAAGAAGGTCATAATATAGAGTAGCTGAATCATTTTGGTACCAACAAAACAAGCTACATAGCGTTTTGACAAGGAATTATTATTGTATATGTTATTTACAGTCAGATTAGTGGCTTCATCTTTGTTGCTATTATCATAATGTTTTGCCCTTTTTTCACTCAATCTGAATAACCTTCAGGGAATTTCAAAATGAACCCTTTATTTAAACTATTAGTCCAATTTTTTATTTCACTGTCCAAGTCCAGTATATTTCATTTTATTCTTTTTTTTGGAACTGCTTAGTTACTGCTATCCCTGTTTTCACAGTGTCTTCACAACCTGGCCCAGAGATTAAATTCAGTTAGTATATCACCATATTTGCAAACCACTGCATTAATACTCAAGGGTTATCACGACTTTAGACCAATTTATTTGAACTAACACCCTCGTCCTGTTTGCTATTGTGTGGTAGAATTAGGTAGTAGTAACACCATATGGAAATATACACTTTCCTTTTCCCTAAGAGAGTGGAAAAGAAAACTCTCTCTCTCTTCTCTCTATTACGCATACTTCCTTTCTTTCCTTCTGTTGTTCCTATCCTCAGTAACTGATAGAACATGGACATAGCTTATGTGGCTCAGTGAACATCATTAAAAATCAACTAATGACAACATGTCCTACCAAAAATCAAACGGAGAACATGGATATGTCAGGCTCAATAAAAAGAGGAAAAAAAAACGTGTGGCAGCAGCGGCAGAAGTGGGAAATTGGTTCAATGTAGCAGTTTGAGGGTTGGAGATTCATCGGATGTGAGTTTGACCAGACAGGCAACTCCAGAAGAAAAAGAAGAAAGGATGTATTCAACAAATTAATTACTGTCAGCCAAAAACACAACGACCTTGTATGAACACTCAAATCACAAAAAGGACTGTGATGATAGTCACCCACCTTTAACCACTGTAACCAAATGAAGTCAACAATAAAATGGTACTATAGATAGTAAATTTGGCCTTTACTTGTGCATTAGCCCAACTTTCATCTCTATATACAGTGTAACCCAGATATAAGAGAGTTGTCAGGACCAGAGAAGAAGTCTCTTATATCCGGGTTTCTCTTATATCCGGGTTTGGTCTATTTTATATACATTAACACAGGCTCTAATTTGGGACCAGAGAAAATCTCTCTTATATCCAGGTTTCTCTTATATCCGGGTTACACTGTACCATAATTGTAACATTTCAGCCATTTTAACCTTCTATCAGCTACCTGTTGTATAAACTTAATTCATATATCCTCTAGGCCATTTTCTTAATAGCCCTTGAAGGCATGATGGTATTTCTGCACAAGCTTGTAAATATCATGCCTAAAAACTATTATATAAATTTTGAGCTTTCTTTGTGAATTTCTATGATTAGAAATATTGTCTCAATTTTTCTGACTGTTTTTTTTCCCAAATATGAATATAATTTCTGTTTCAGTCCCTCCCGAGATTTATTTGCCAACCAAAAGAATTGGACAAGCTTTAGCTAAAGAGACAATATTAGAATGTAAAATAACAGCTATGCCACAAGGAGTTACAGTTTGGAGAAAGAATGGCACAGAGCTACAAACAGGATGGAAATATCGTGTAGATGCCTATAGTGATGATGATTACACCATCACCTTGAGTTTGCGTATACGTCAGATATCCAAAGAAGATTATGGAGTGTACACATGTGTGGCTTCCAATCGATTAGGACATGATGAAGAAACTATGATCTTGTATGGTAAGTAAGCATTTATCTATCTTTACTTTTGGGATTTTAAGCTTTTTTTTCAATTTTGTTTTTTTAATTTCTATTTTTTAATTTTTATGTAACCCAAGCAGTTCAATAAAAAGTCCAGAGAAAATAAAATAATTGAATTTTAAAGAAATGGGTTGATAATGGTAATATTAGCTGTTTCCTTATTATGAAACATTCAGCATTCATTGAACAAGGAATTAGTGTGACTTTTGGTTGATATTTCTAAACTTTTTCAATTTCTTCTAAAAATAATTTAATAATAAATTTCTAAAATTTTTCTAATTTTTTTTTTCTCTTAAAACAATTTTTCAGGAAAGTAAGTTTCTCAAGTCCAATAACTGTTATCGCTCTCTCCAATATTGATGGGGACAGCCTTCCTAACCTTTGGTTTGATGTTTTTATTAAATCACTATTTTCTCTTTAAGTTACATGTGCAATCTCTTTTAGTTGTTGCTGCTGTTGAAAGTGTTGAAAATCTTCAAGGTTAGGTAAAAAATTATTTACATGACAAAATGGAAAAAATGTTTTGTCCTTTTAAAGTAAAAATATTTCTAATTACAAATTTTGTGAAAAAAAGTAGAATTATATCTGTATTGAGTGTTTTGCTGAATAATACAATTCTTCCGATTAAGGTGAGAATTTTAGATGTTATCCCTTGGTATTTACATTATTCATATTGCAACATTTCAACCATTTTGTCCTCTGGACTTCATCAGGTGTTTGTCAATCCAGGAGACCTCTGTGGATTAAATAAAAGATCCAGTACAAAATTCCCTTAAGCTTTCTCAGATTGACATATACCTGATGAAGACCAGAGGTCACAATGGTCAAAATGTTGTGCTAACAACAACAATTTCTTCCTTTTTTTTGTAAATGATATTTACATTGTACAAGGTTTGAGAACCACTCGAGATAGAGTATTACAGAGTAAGAGGCACAGTTTATTCAAATATGTTGGGAAGATAATGGTTGACCCTAGACTTAAACATGTTATGATTGTAGCAATCAAGAAAGAATCCTCTTGGCAGTCTTCCACAAAGCAGCAATTCATGGGAAGATGATGCTCAAGTGGAACTTACATATTGCCAATGGAATACAAAGTGAATGATGGTGGTTTGCTACAATGGGAATGGTATGGCAGGTTTTACTCATGAAGGTTAGAACTGGTGGAACAAAGGAATGTGGTTTACCTGAAAACTTTCTATGGAAATAATAACAGAGCAGTGAGAGGTTTGCTATGTTTTGTCTATGAGAAAGTGTTGAAGGGTGGAAAATTATTTGTCACCCACAAGAATATGGAGATACTTTTAGACTCTAGTGAGACTGGAAAATGAAAATTGGGCAGCTCCTACCTATATATGGCAACAGTACAGTAGGGTTATGTCTGTATCATTCAGTAGAGCCTCAGTTCTCCAGATGGATTGAGTGTTGAGTTGGATGAGAATTTCTGAGCAAAGCATTAAGCCTTATCTGCTGTGGATGTCAGAACTTTGAATTGATTGCATAGTGGAGGGACTGAGGATTTGATATTGTTCAGCACACTCTTGCAGAGCTGCCAATAATCTCTAGAATCAAACTTGTGAGATGCAATATGTTGTTTCATTCTATCATTAAACAGCATCTTTGCTTCATTGAGGACATACTTGCACTCATTACGAGTAGAGACAAAGAGACATCTGTTGCAATCAGACATATCACTCCATTACAGACAGAAGAAGTAATTCCTGTGGACTATTGCGGCTGAGCAATCAAGTGAGAACCAAGGAGATAAGTGCAATTTAACTTGGTATTTCCTCACTGGAATGAAAGCATCAATGCTGGCTTTTACCCGGGAGGAGACCACAGACATGCATTTTTGAATGGAATGATTAAAACCTATGTTCCAATGGACAAATAATGACAACTCATCATTTCAGAAATTCAAGCAGAAGTTTCCCTTGATGCTATGATTATTATGGAATAGATCAAAGCTTTTTTAGTGAGTGCTGTATGCATATATATTAAGAGATAAGGAAATATAACACACAATAGGTTGCAATCAAGGTAATCTTGTTCAATACCACAAGATGCTACAAGCCGTGATATTAACCTAAGAACGTGAGGTATGCTCTTAAATAGCCCCATCAGCTATTAGATTCTCATCTGGGTGTTACACATAGTATCCAAATCAGTTATATATAACCATTTCCATGGCCGAATGATTAAAAATGACTTTATACGGATAAATCCTCTAAATCTCAAAGAAGACAATTCTTCATCAAATCTTATAGACTGGCATTAGAAAATTACAAAGAACTTTACCAAATAAAGAAAACATCACTTGAAGACTTACAACACCAGCAGAAACTAAAATTGATAGCTCATGAAATTTTTAATATAAACTCAGTGTTTACCTTTTGCTTTGAGTGTAATTAAAAACAGAATTTGACATTAAATAACTTAACAAATATTATATAACCAACCAAACAAAAATTTTGTCATAACATGAGTAAACTAGTGTATTTCATAAAGGCATAATTTAATTTATTTCTGAACGTAAAGTTTTCTGACATACTTTACTCCTTGTGGAAGAATAAATTGACAGCAGAATTTAAAAATTGATGATGGTTCAGTAAATAACATGAGATAGAGACTATGAAATATCTTCTACTGGCAGGGCTGATTCATACTACCCCAACCAGGCAGGGGTGGGGTTCAAGCCTATTTGGGGGCTCTGGGTAGATCTTTGAGTCCCTCACTATCTTATTAACATTTGCTTTTTTCTACCTACATTTACATATGTTACAAAATAAATTAAGCATACCTGATTATTAAATTTTCATGGATTCTGATGCCATTCTGGGGTATTTTTTTTTTTTTTCATTCAAATCCATGAACTCGTTTTGCACATGCTAAATATAAAAAGAAAACATAATATAAAAGTCACTATTTTTTTTATCTATAATGATGAATGTGTTAAAATTCTTTAACTTTTGAACTAAAAACAAATCTCAATTTGATGTTAAAAATTGCAGCAAAACATTGTTGATTTATTTAAGATGGAATAATTTATTATTTTTATGTCTCTAATTTGTATTTAGATGTATTTATTTTCAATTTTTCTAGTTGAATTGTTCACCTATATTGCATATGATTCATTATTGTACATAACTTAGTTACAATAAAATTTGTATTTTATATGAATACTACCTTATGAAAATTAAGATGTAGTCGGGGGCATATCATAGACTCTCGAGGCTGTATTATATATGAAGGAGCACATGATCCTTGCACCAGCTCTGTATACCACATGCTTAAAAAATATTATCTGCAATTGAATAAGAATGAAAAAAAACTTGACCAGACAGATTAAAGGTTTTCTTAAGGCCTAGATGCCTGCTCATAAGCTCAATTATGAATAGCTTAATTTTCTCTTAAATTAGTCATTAACTTTTCTACTTTAAAAAATTTATGCATCTTACTAATTCTCTTTATTTTCTTAGCTTGTGCCAGACAATTCAAAACTATCACGAACTAAAAGTACATCATGTTTCTAAATAATTACTCCTTTAAGTACTAACCAGGCTTGATGTTGCTTAACTTTAGAGATCAAATGAGAGCCAATGATTTCAGTGTGGCTTGACCATAGAACACAAGTGGCTAATTTCTCTTTAGATAGTGAATTATCTAAATACCATCTATTACTTACAGTAGCATCTTGTGGGACTGATTCTTAAAATCAATGTTTTCTGTTAATTCATCCCAAAACATTAATTCACCCCCAAATAAAAAATTTGTATTTACTAAAATTCACACCAAATTCTCCCAGAGCGTGTCTCTTCTATTCAATCCAGTTGGGTTGACATTTCTGATTGGCTGAAATGTGGGCAATTCAAGTGTGCTATTTCTAAGTGTGGGATCTACATTTGTGCTTACCCCAATAAACATGCCAAAAACAGATTTTTTTTTTTTAAATTGTAAAAAATTCTTTGTATGTACCTTGAATATCATCTACATTTACGAAATGTTGTTAAATTTATGATTTTCAGTAATTTTTCATTATGATTTGTTGTGAAGCAAGCTAAACAAATTTTGATTTAAAATTTCGAATTTTTTGAGGTGAATTAATATTTGCAATAAGTAACTTTACATTATTTGGGGTAAATTAACAGAAAAGATCCCTTAAAACATATGAAGTGGTGAAAATTACTCTCTACATTGTTTCAATGCAAAGCAAAAGAATTTTTGAAAAATGTTATAATATAAAAGCTCTTCAGATTCTTAAATGGAGGTTAATCATAAGGATACAATTTATGTTTATAGGTAGATTTTAATTAAAGATGGATTTTTCATTTTATTTTTAATCGGAGATAATCTTTTAAAATTTGATCCGTCTTTTCTGTCTCTTTCTTTAAGCTATCTAGTCCTGGATATGATGATCAACTACATCTGGCAGCCAGGCCTTTGATCAGGAGATTAAAGGTTTTAAGGAGTGTGGGACCAACTCTTAATTTCTGTTATTCCAGGTCCACCTTTGGTGTGGCAGCACCAGTTAGGGTCCCAGCTATGAGCAAATAGTGAACCCCCAAACAAAAACAAAACACTATGAAAGTATAAAAGTATATTTTTATATAAAAAATTAAAACAATACATATTTTAGTAAAATTACCAACAATACCTCGTAGTAAAATTGCCAACAATAACTAGTTGTAAAATTGCCAACAATACCTAGTCGTAAAATTGCCAAAAATACCTAGTCGTAAAAATTGCCAACAATACCTAGTTGTAAAAATTGCCAACAATACCTAGTTGTAAAAATTGCCAAAAATACCTAGTAGTAAAATTGCCAAAAATACCTAGTCGTAAAATTGCCAACAATACCTAGTTGTAAAAATTGCCAACAATACCTAGTAGTAAAAATTGCCAACAATACCTAGTAGTAAAAATTGCCAACAATACCTAGTAGTAAAATTGCTAACAATGCCTAGTAGTAAAATTGACAA